CCAGGTGAGTGAGAGAGCACTGCAGAGCGCTTCTGCGCAGTATCCTGTGGCGCGCAGACGATTTTGAAAATTATTAGAGTTGCATGGTAGCGTAGTAGCAAAAGGTATTTTAAATGTTGGATACATTATTGTAAAGCAGACTTAAATACTTTGAACTTACTGTAATCAAAGCTTACTCTGATTCTAAATGGTTATAGTGACTTAAGAAGTATAACAAGAATCCCTTTAACAAATATTCAACTCAATAGCAGACATTTACTGTGAATACATACAATGCAAACCACAGATTAATTTGATTTATTAGTTATAACCGGTAAATTTCCCTTCATAAATTGTAATATCTTCAATTAATTTTAAATCAATGAAATATAGATTTTAGCATTACTCTTAGTTGAAAGCAAGATATATTACATTTTGCAATTTTCACACATAAGTGCGAATACTTTCGTCACTTGAAGTTTGTCTTTTGTCGCATTTGCTACTAAAGTTAAAAGCAGAAACTGCTCCCAAATAAGCAACCCTGCAGGCTCAGCTGTTTTCGTTTTAGGCAGTACACAACCCCCAATATCCAACACCCACAAACGGAGACGAATTTGCCGCATTATAAAGACGCCAAGTGGTGCGCCCAAGGCAGTGACGAGAGTGTCGGCAGCGCCCCCAACTTTGTTCCCCCCTTGCTACATTACCGGCATGGAGCGCGCAGCAAGCGTCAATATTTGCATTTGTAATAAAAATATTTAGATGCGTTGTCATATACCCAAAACGCGGCACGTAAATCTAAAAAAGATTTGTTATTTCTGCTCGTGTATCGCGTCGTGTTTTCGTCCTGTGTTGTGTGCTGCTGGCAGCAGTTGAACAACAAAGGGGCGGCAACACTAGCAACAACAATAGCAGCCAGCTGAGAACGACAGAAACATGCCGGGTGTGCTGGCGTGTCTGTAGAGCTTGTCAATGTTATTAAAATAGCATAAAAATAAAATAAAATATAACAACGCAGAATTTGATTTGTCGATTGTTGTGCGTTGAGAATCCAACACTGGTCGCTCGAGGAACATTGTCTAGTTGGTTGCGTCTGTGACAAACTCGACATGCGAAACTAAATTTTTGGTTTTTGTTTTATGTTGCATATGTTGAAACGTCCCAACATTGTGCACTTAAATATTAATTTGATAAGCGAAAATGAAGGGAAATGAAATGCGAGGAACGCGCTTAAATGGAACTTAACTTTTGACACAGACGTGTTGCTGTCACTTGTCAAGATATTGCCATCGCCGCTCGTGCCCCATACGATGAGTAATGATTGACTGCTGTTATAGCTACTACTGCTACTGCGTCAGATGGCTGGCATTATGACATTATGGATCACCATTTTGAGATTTACGCACAGCAGCCACGTTTCGCAATTTTGGCCACATCAATGAGCGACATTCGAGAGTCATGCTTCAATGCATGAAAACGATTTTATTTACATTTTTTACTTTGCCTTTTATGCTGGCTATACTGCTCAGTTTTGTGAATGATTGAAGTCTCGCTTTGATGGGTATTTATAATCTGTCTGAGGTTGCATTTTCTGTGTGAATATATGTCAAGGTCTGATATAATATAGTAAGTATTCATGAAACGCTGAATATATATTATTATTATATAAATAAAAACAGCCGCTAGCCCTCCCTGTATTTTCGGTTCAAAAATGTTTTTTGATATTTTAGCTTTTCTCTGCATTATACACATACCTACAGAATCGCACGCCCATCTACATACGTGTAGACCATCATATTTTTGCTTTATGAGTTTTTAAGATGCTAAGGAAGAAAGTTTGCTCGTGGTAGCCAAGGGGGTCCAAACTTTGTTTTGGTGTGGTGCCTGTCACCTGTTTGGCAAATAAATTTAATTTATAATGCCATATAAAATTACTAAAAGTTTTCCTCAATGTAACAAGAAACAAAAGTACAGCAAAATCAAATGGACTGGCCTAGCTGTTGGGCAGGCCGACCGCTCTTTTATTTAAGGTCCGCAAACTGTTAGCGCGTCACATAGCGCATACGCCTTGGGCTTTGCTTACTTCTTTGGTCTTTATTATGACAAATTACTCAGTAGGATAGGTGGGATATTTTTATGACTGCGGCGCGTTTCATTGCCATGACGCCGGCTAAATTATCTGCCAAATAAAAATAGCTCATACGCCGGGCGCTGTCGAATGTTGCTAACGCCAACTTCGAAGAATTCTCAAAAATTTGTAATTTGTCATCCAAGCAGACAAAATTGTTTAAAAGTTTACACCTGTCGCTAGCGCCGAAGTCTGTGGTGCACAGTGAGACAAGCTTTAAAAACTGAAAATGTCTTAAATATTTTTCCTTAGGTCTACGGTGTTTTTTAGTTCATTAGTTCTGTTTTATATTGGTGAATTAATTATTGAATGCGTTAGTACAACGGTGCTTACCACATATAGTGTCATAATCTTTGTCCCAGTTACCTTTTCACACTCGAGGTAAACTTGGTAAATTGCAAAACAAAAACGAATTGAGTTGTCGCATCCGTCAATACGTGGAATTAAAAGTAATTGGACATATTATTATTGTAAAATTCATTTTAATCCGCTTTGTGTTTATACTATGCTGCAGTATGAATTTGATAGGTGGATAATGGATTTTGAACCAATATATTTTACTGAGCGTCGGCGACAGTAATCAGCTTTACTTTTCTGAAGGCATTATGATGTTAATATACTTCGTAAGTAAATATGTAAGATGTTGCGCTGTAATTAAAAGCAATTTACGGGTACCTGAAGAGTGGCTAAGAACATGTACAGTTTAACCTTGAGAATTGGTCTTAAATGAAAAATAATTGATAGTCGTATTAATACAATAGTTAACTAACTGTATTTTCTGTTTATTTTCACTCTAAATTTCCATATATTTTCTTAGAAATGTTTAATCTAAAATACGTTTATAGCATTTCACATTTTATGTAGTTACTTTTTGTGTCATTCTGACCAAGCTGTGTTCTGACTTTGTATAGAAAATTAAGTTACAGCCTGATTACAAATTGTTAACGTATGAATAAGCAAGAATTTGTCTTAGATTTTGTTGTCAGAAATATACATAATTTTGTTTTATTTAAAAATATAACAAGCTCCTTGTAATCTGTTGTTTTATTATGTTAAGGAAAAGCATATAATAAATACGTGTACTATGATACATAACATTTACATACTCATACATACTTGTACATAATTACTATCGTTAATCTTTACAATTGCTTTAGAGTTGTTTATACAAATTAATATTTTTGGGACTAGCATCGCAAATCAACAACAAAACAAACTTATTCGCTTATGTACGTAACACTTTGACGTTCTTTTTTACCTACTTATCATAACAATTTTGTTGTTTCCGTAATAGTTGTATATAATTTAATTTAACAGGCTTTTTGCTTTTGTTTTGTAACAGTTGCGTAGTATCAAAAAATTAACTGTTTGTCGTAAATACTAGATGTTTGTGCAAAATGTGAAGACTGGGGATTCTCTTTTAAATCATGGCGGACATTTCTCTCCCTCACTGTTATACTCGTATTTGTCTTTATTGTGTAAAATGGTACAAAAAGTTGAAAATACACTTGTAGTCAATTTTATAATACACATTCCGTAGATGCTGGTCAAAATGCTTTTGCTGAGGCGCCTATCAATTGAAGTTGTTTTTCACTTTGAACAGTTCCCCTTTTCCCTTTAGTCGAAGTAGTCGAAGTTTTGGGGAGGCAGACAGATTAGATAAGTATTATGTATTTATGCAAATTTATTTCATATATTTTGTAATAGTTGTTATTGTTGTTGTCCTTATCTAAGGTTGAGCTTGTGCCGCAATTGCTGGAATCAAGTTGCTGACTTTGTAAGCAGTGCACAAGCCTCCCCCTTACAGGCTACACAGTCAACTTAATTCCAGGAGCTGCAACGCAAATGTTTTAAGGACAACACGCGCACACACACATATTTATATTTACAAAAAACAACAACTGCTTACACAATCATGTACACTTAAAAAAAAAAGTAAAAACTAAACACATTGCATTGAGTTGATTATTTTTAAAGTCGATCAGATATTTTAACTGCGTAATTGTTTATCATTGATTTTTCGAATTTCCGATTCGCTGATGTAGACTAGAATATATTTGGTAGATTTATGTAAATTTCGCTTAATTAGTTTTGATTTTGTGCCTCGCCTCGCCTCAACTTAACGTCAACACATACGTACATACAAACGTAGTTTACTTATGAAATTTTCTAGGTGTATTTTGAGCATTTTTATTGCATACGATTGTCGTTCGAATAACATTTTAACTTTTAACTACTAAATAAACCGTAAGCATCATCATTGTTTTGCAACATTGTTTAGTATGTTGGGAAGTTCCCTCATTTCATGTTTTTTGTTCTATTCGTTACTGATTAGCTCTGTGTATCTTGTTTTTGAATAATGGTTCGCAAATTGGCACTGTTTCTTGTCCTTCCTTCCTTCCTTTAGCTTGGCTGTGGCATTTCGAATTACAATTTCAATGCTGTTTATCAACGTTTGCTTTACAAATACAGTTGCTGCTGGACGCCAGCCAATTAACAAAAGCTTAGCGAACAACGGGTGTATGGGTGTATGTGTGTATGTGCGTTAAATATATGTATGTTTGTAGATTTTGGTACAGAATTTATGCAACCTGCGCTTAAATACAATTTAGTTAATTTATTTAATACATATAAAAATATTTATTGACTATTTACATGTGTGGTGGAAAGCGCGTTAATAATTTGCCACAGACTTGGCCATGCGGATAAATAAATAAATGTGCAAGAAAATAAACGCGAACAGTTGTGCGATGAGCTTTCCATTAAATCACAAAAAGGCAACAACCAAAACAAGAAACCATTGAGATATACAAGTATGTATGTATAGCAAACGAAAACAATTCGCAGAGCCGATGAGTACAGCATGCCAACCGACTGATTGCATCGTGTCACCTTTATATAGTATGCGCATAAATCTGTATGAAAATCGCACACATACACGCACATACACATACTCGAATATGTATATACTATATGTACTTATACACGGCATGAGCCAGCATATTAATATTACAAATTAATGGAAAATTTTAATTTCATTAAATTGATTGCTGCCTCGCTTTTGTTGTTGTTGATACTTTTGTTGCTGTTTCCATTGTCAATGCCGTCGTCACTCAATCGCATACACATCCTTTACGTACTTGCCATCCTTACACATGACTCGACGCCGTGGCGGCTGCCTTGTTGTTGTTTTTCTGCCATTTGTTTATGTACTCCATCGGAATTTCAATTTGTATCTCCTGCACGTCATCTGCCGATAAATCGTCGTGCTTCGATCTGACTGCCGCCGCAGCCGCTGCTGCAGTGCTTCCCGCTTGCAATCGCTGCTGCTGCTGAGCTATTGGCGTCAGCAGCGCATCATCCCTGTATTATAAGTTATCGACGAGCTGAGACTGCCGGCGCTGGGAAGGGGTAGTTGAGTTGAGGTAGCTCTCTGAATAGACGCTCTTGGCCCGCTGATCGTATCGCAGGCTGGACCTACGAATGTCAATATCCAAGGGCAAGTGGCGATCTTTCCACCAGTTGCAGAACAAACACAGCAGTGTGTTGCGGAAAGCCTCGCGAAAGTCGCGATTGAAGTAGGCATAAATAAGTGGATTTAGCGTAGAATTGAAATAGCCAATCCAGAATAGTATGGATACAACGATATCTGGCACCTGGCATGGTCCGCAGGTCATGGAGAGTGTGTACCTAATGGGGAATGCAAAAAATTACATTAGATTTGCCTTTCAACCGTTTTTATAAGCAAAGTAGTATCCGCGTTACAAGTTTTCACATGTCGTAAAGTATAAATATAATTTAAATTAAGAGAAGTGTATTTATTGCAAAAGTACACACCTATATTTGCAGGAGACTTTGAACAAACTTCATCAATATTTAAAATTTCTTTCTTGCATTTAAAATTTACTTCATTTCTACTCTAAGTTAATTTTTTATTCCTTTTGCTTATTTAAAAATTGGCTTTGTGATGGCGGACCCCATGTTGCCTCATGTATTTTAAGCTTTCATTAGGGAAATACTCGTAAATATATAAACGAAGAACAAAAACCATCAGCAAACAACTAGCAACAGAATTTTGTGGCGCCGTGGATGAGTTATATTTAATTATGTATGCGTGATATTAAATAAATCATGTTGAAATCCCTTGTCAGCATGACTTCTCACCCGCACAGACTCACCACAAGAAGAATGGCAGCCAGCAGAGTATAAAGGTACCCATGATGATGCCGAGTGTGCGGGCTGCCTTGTGCTCCCGCTTCATTTTGATTAAATGTTTATCCTTAGTCGGTGTGTGCTCCTGCTCGACCTCGTGCAGTGTCAACGTTTTCGATGAGCCCGAGCCGCTTAATGCCTCGCCTGTTCAGAAAGAAAAAGGAACATACAGTTAGTCACACGGCAATGATAAATGTGCTGACTTAGAAAGGTCAAAGTAACATGAACTCGATTCCGACAATGTTCTCGGCACTCACCTGATGGCTGCATTGAAGGTCGATGCATTAGCATCGCATTGCCGTGCCGCATTATCAACTGTTTCTCCTGACGGTTTGCCTCTCGAAATATGGCCAAGTAGGTAAAGATCATGATGGTGCATGGAATCCAGAACGAAATCGAGCTAGATATGATGGCGTAGTAGGTGTTCACCTTAAAGGTGCACTCATCCGGATTCTCTTTGACAAAGGACTTGTGCTCGTCGGTCGTATACCAGCCAATAAATATCGGCAGGAATGACAGCAGTGCCGGTGAAATCCATGTATTGAGCAGCATAATGCCTACAACGCGTTTCGTCATGTTAATCGGATACTTCAGCGGCTTAACAATCGCATAATATCTGCAAAAGCCCAGAGAGCGGTTCACGTTATTGCAGTTTGCAAACAACTGAGTGTGTGTGTGTTGTGCTGTCGACATTCCAAATGCTTGGCGCTTTATTGAATCCACACACGCACACTTTAAAGCCACAAGCAGAGCACAAAATATGCGCATGCTAATTGGCAATTTTCCCAGCTTACCATCACAATAAGAGTGACAGATTTGCAGTGCAATAATTACCTATCCACGGATATGCAACATAAATGCAAAATACTCGCTGTTGAGAAATATACGTCCAGGCTGTTCCACAGGTCGCACACGAATGGGCCAAAATTCCAGCTGTAAGTACGTCGAAAAGTATTTACTATAGCATTATATGCAGTGTATTTGGTACATGATGGTCTGAATGCACTTTTCATATCAATTTCTTATACAACAAATACAGAATTTAGGGTCGAAAGTGCTCGTTTCGTCACACATACTATATATACGCATAACCGTAATTCCCATTTCTAGTTTCTCCACTAATGCTCTACAAGCAGACATTGTTCTTGTTACTTCTTTCGTTCAAACTCACACACCTTTCTATACGGGTGTCGAATATTTTCTTTTAATTTTTTAAGTCAAACATCAATCTAAGAGATGCGTTGTATATAAGGTAGTTGAACTTCTGAACTTCTCTATATTTAAAGTAAACAAGCTAATAACTTGATATCTTTCCATCGCAACGCTAGTCTCTCAATAAATAATACATAAAAATTGAATAACGCTTAAGAACGTATCTACAACTCTCTTACAAGTATACTCGTATTTGTTTTATTCTCTACCCTGTATGTTATGGAAATCTCTTCGCAACATCTTTAATAGTTTCAAGTAAATGTAATTTGTAAAAGTCCATCGAAAGCCACTGGGAACACTGTTATCAGTAGCGCAGCTGATTTATGTATTTATCGATTTCATCTTAGTTTCGGTTGCCAGGTGGCATTGCCCGTGAAATGGCGCCCGGTTGAATCCTTTACGTGTTCCACTGACACAATTCGCCACGGGCAAAACAACCAAATTAAAAGCAGTGTACTTGTACACCAAAGGGCACAACAACCCGTTCCGCACCAGCTCTATCTGCGACGAAGTGCCTGACTGTGTAAGTGTATGTGCGTGTGTATATTAGCGGCAGGCCATGCTGTCGCCAGCAATGTTACCACAAGCAGCTCCTCCTGCGCCTCAATTTCGGTCTGTGCCGTTGCTGCCTTGGCTGCATGAAAAACTCATTAAAACTCGCGTTGTTGTCGCCGTCGCTGGCCAAGTTGCTACTGCTCTACTTGCTGTGGCTGTTTCTGCGGCTCCTATTGTTGTTTCTGTAGGTTGTTGTTCTGTCGTTACAGCGAAACGGCCAACAGGCAGTAAAATTTATTATCGGGCTCTCTTTCTCGTTTAGCATCAGTTTCAACAAAACTTTTCGACTATTCAAAACTGTGCTCCAAGCGGCATCGGCGCCGACTTTTTTCGTTTCCTTTTATACCTATCATGTTCTCATTTCTTCTCTTTCCTTTTGTTTCTTTTTTTTCGTTTTTAATTTTGTATGCACTGTCAGGAATTGACGCTTGGGTCCAACGTCAATTATGCAAGTAGCGACTGCGAAGGTGAAATTGCTAATGAATGCTAAGTGGGCCGCAGGGTGGGCCGGTGAAGTGCGACGCGAAATTGTGTGACCAGTGCCAATTTATATGCAACTCTATCGTCCTGTGTGTGTGTGTGTGTGTGTGGGTGTGTGTGTGGGTGTGTGTGTGTGAGTGAATTTGTGTCTGTGTGGGTGATTGAATCAAGTGCTTGCTGCTTGTATGTGACTTTGAGCGTGCGATGAAGTTTAAGTTCCCTAAAATTTGACTCTCCTGGGTGAAATTATATTTTAAAATTGATGTACTTATATAGCATACTTGCCGATGAGACCCATTAATTATTTAATTATGTATTTAATTGATAATATTGAAGGCAACTCTCTATCTTTAGAGTGGCTTTTAAAGGAACCCAAAACAAGGCTAAACATTTTTTTGTAATGCGCTTTAGTTTTTTTTATGTACCTGATGTACCTGAAAATGTTTTGTTTGTTTAGTTACACCTCTGAGGGAAGACCGGCAAGTTATAGACGTAGATGTAATTTTTTCCCATGCTCTCCCAAGTGTGCACATATCTTTTAAATGTATATTTTTACATTAGCTATTTTAATTTAATTTTAAAATAATCTCCTTAAAGTGGTTGCTGCGTATATACGTACGACAGTGCGCGACTCTAGCCTTCTACTTAGTTTTTTGCATACAAGTGTGCAGAGTATTATGCGATGTCACGCATTACATATCATCACAAACATTTGTCTTGGTTTTAAATTGAAGCCATACCTAAGCGCCGAGTTGGATCAACCACATATATATATCATAATCGAGAGAAAGAGAGAGAGAGAGAGAGAGTGAGGAAGAGAGAGAGCAGAAGGGAGAAAGGGGGAGATATGTCCATATTTAAAGTCATGAATAATTAACTGAGTATGTTGAAATGCGTGGGCTCAAACACAAAAGCATTTGCCATTATGTATATGCCTGTTCGAGGGCAGTTGGACAAAAATCCGCAAATTTTTGCTGCACATCTTAGCAATGCTCTGAAAAATCAATAAAGTCATTTGTGTAGGCTTGGCAATGACAAATAGTTCCGCAAACAGAATGGCAAAGAGTGCCTCGTCTGCAAACATCTAAAATATGCACCTTAAAAATTGCAAAATTGTTCACCCGTAGAAATCGTTGATTTTAACGGATAATCGTGTTGGCAAATAAATCCCCTCATTCACTATGCACTAACCAGATATTCGATGCTTCAAGTTCATGCCAATACAGCTGCTGAGGTGATGTGGTATGCGTGCGAGTATGCCTCGTTGATTATTAATCATACTGCCCACGTACTTTTACATTGAAGGATACAACCATGTCACACTGGGACAATTTTGTCCTTTAGAAAAGCAATTCAAAGTGCATGTGTGTGTGCATTCTCGTCCATCCTTTTTGTACATTTTAATACTTGAACACAAACACAGACCTAAACACAAACGCACGCATGCTTTCACCGTATGATTCACTCATGCACACACATACACACACATGCACACACATGCACACACATGCACACACGTACACACACATACACACACATGGGCACTCGCCGGCATGCACAAAAATGACTTTGTGCATTTGCATTTCTCATATATGTACTCGTATTCTACACTCACGCACACAAAGGCAGCAGCACAAATGAACGTTGCTTTCGTTTTCAGGGATTTTTTTTTTTTTTTTTTTTGGTTATTTGTATTCTACATCCCACCCGCCTTGGTCCCGTTTAGTTACAGCTGCTGCTACCATTATTTTTTTAGTTTTCTTCCCTTCTACTTTCTTGCATTCGTTGTTGGTGTACTATATGTATGCTTTTGATTGTACAATACTTACCGCCCAGTTACTTGCACACTAAAATTAAATGTCATGGCCATAATAGCGACCATTATGTCAGCCATGGCTAAGGAAACTACAAAGTAATTCGTTATAACTCTGCAAAGAGAAAGAATAGAATAAAACGGAGAAGGATTGGTTAAAATCGTACATATCTTACATACATTCAAGTATACAAACGTATGCTAAATACAAATAATATGAAATGAAGGATCCGAGCAAGCTGTTGCCGCTGCTCTCTAGATGACTAATCAGCAAATCATCGTGTGTGCTTGTATGTATGAGCGCCTGATTCTGTGTATTCAAACCATTTTGTTTGAGGTTTATTGCAGATCATTTGATTGTATGTGTAATGCCAACCACTGCCGTTGGTAGGCAGATGAGCATGATGGTCAGTTTGCGTTCAGATCTAAGCATGGGTCGTTATTGAATCGTTAAGGCCCACATTCCCGTCATTGCGCCTCATGATTCAGCAATCCAGCTTGGTGTGCTGTTCTCATTACAATCACTATGCGATATCTTTGCTTATCACTTATCACATTTCATTGAGAAAAATGACATGTTTGTTAGCAATATTGCTATTTAATACAGTTTACAAATTTTTTGTATGTTTGTAACAGACAGAAGGAAGCACCTCTCGACTTGTATGTAAATTTACCATTTACTTCAAGTCGAAACCAACTTATTAAATTACTAGCTAATAGATCAAACAATTATTATAACAGTACACGTAAATCAAACCTTTATCTTGAGAACCTAGAAATATTTGTATTATTCATGGCTACAAAGACCGGGCAATAATCTGTGGGCGTCGGCATTAAAAATCTATATCATTATAGGGCACACTTTAACACCTAACTGCTTTCAGCGTTGCCTTACCTGCCTACAGTTGCGTCGCAGGAAACGGAAATAGTTGCCAAGCATCTAAGCATTCTTAACGTGAAGACGCCGCCGGCCCCGTTAATGAGCAACAAAATGTAATAGCACATATATGCGAGCTTCTTTTGCTACAGACGGAACCACATACATACATATAGTAGTATATAGTACATTTTTTGATACTGGCAAACACATTTTCATGGCGCGCATAGAAAATTTAAAATTTATGCTGTCATAAAAACCATAAGTTGCCTTAATTGCCAAAGTTTTTGCCGCCTCTTTCTATTTCGCTTTCCGCAAAACGCGTTCGTGCTGGCGACAACATTTAATTGTCCCGCTTTTTGTGCTACACATTTTCCAACGTATTTTTCCTTTGTTTCATGTAGCGTATTTGTAATATTTGTGGCTTTCCATGCTGAGCACCAAACAATAGACTTCTGTTTCCGACGTACCAGCCTCAATCCCTACACTATCAGAGTGAAAAGTGTTGTGCATGCCGTCGGCAGCTGACCATTTATATGGCGTTCTATGTTTTGGATTTTATTAATTCTTTTGGCAGTCGGAAATTAATTTCGCCTAGGCCGATGATTTATGTCTACATTCTTGAAATTTATTTGTTAAGACACAGAGCCTTGATTTCGCTCAACCATTAGCAGCAGCAGCATCAGCATGAATAGCGCTATCATCATCATCATCATTAGAGTCAACAGAAGCTAAGACGATGGCGGTAGAGCTCGGGGGTAAGTCACTTAAAAATAAAATGCTTCTCATTAGTAGCAACCAAAAGAAAAATTAAGGGACGTTCAACCTGCCCGCTTGTGCTACAGCCCGATCCTCATCTTATATTATACCCTTTAATCAAATACCGTAAGCGTATATTTGGCGGAAACAAATTCCGCAATTGATATGTTTTTGTATCTTTGATCTGCCCAACAAGTCGAATCGATCTAGCCACGTCTGTTTTTATGGAAGCAAAGAATTCAAAAAAATTATAAATAAATAAAACGCTAGTGTTATCTAGAAAACTTGATTCGATGGTGATTGGAAGTTTTATATAGATGCACATTCCAATGTACGACATTTGTTGTATATACATAAATATGTAGTATACGTAATTATATACTATACAGTTCGCGTATGTAATATAGGCTGCACCTCATATTCCTCTTCTAAAATAAAATTTTTTTGATGTATCTAAAGAATTAATTAGGTATTTCAAAATCTGATGAGCCTTAGATCTAACTGATTGTGTTTCCCTTTTTATACCCTGTACCCAAAGAGTAAAAAGGGTATATTAGACTGGTGCAAAGCATGAAACAGGCAGTAGGAAGCATCGCCGACCCCACAAAGTTTCGTCAACACTGTCCAGCATTTCAAAGCTACATAAATTAAATTTTCATACAAAATAATTATATAATCGTTTTCTTTGGTTTCAAAATTCAGCCAAATCGGTTTGTTCTAAGAAAAGTTATTAGCGAACCAATTTTACTTCAGTACTTCACACAAACTGCACCATAGAGTTTGTTCTTCTTATTTTTGCTTATACTATGTGCTTTTATATATATTGTAGTAGAGGGTATTTCACTCGACTCTAGCATTCTATTTTGTTTACCCCGTACAACTTTAAATAAGAGCATTTAAAGTTTTCTAGAAAAAAAGAGAGCAGCGCTTAACAAAAATTAAAATAGCATGCATACAGCTGCCGGGCGAGACCGGCATCCGGAAGGGTGCTCTTAAATCTTGCCAGCAAGTTCCCGGAACTTTTGCTCGCGTGAGTGATGTGCCTTAGTTAACTTTGATTATGACCTCGTAACAGAGTTTTGCCCGCCTTTTAGTTACTTTGCAATTACAAAAGATAATTGTTTTTATTGTTGTTTGAGCCATGCCATGCCTATCCTGAAGCATTACTAAAATATAAACGAGCCAAAGTCAATGATACCTCGTCATTTATCACTTGAAACTTATATATATTTTCGTTTTTCCTATTTATCTTTTATGATAATGTGTTGCTATATCGAGCAGCCGGACGTTGTCGTGTGAAGGACACGCCGGCTGGTGTCAGCAAATGTAACGAGGTCGGCGTCTGCTATGTGTGACAAACAGCGATGACAAGTGTGGGTGTGCGGGTCTATTTTTGTGTTGGATAACACTTTTGGAGACATTGAGAATGATTAAGTCATTTCGAATGCCAAGGTTCATTGGTTTCTTTCTTCCTCATCCCGTTTGGGAAATTATTTCAAGCAGATAGTGCTGCCATTTGCATAACGAACAACACAGCAATTAACAATCCCTTAGCTTGCAAATTTGATTTGTTCATTCATTTCAAAAATATCTGTATGCACATACAATATAAAGTCATAAAAGATGTAAAGTCATCAAAGTTAATTTGTCATTAAAATAATGAATTTCGCTAGTAATTCCTTAGCTGTTCCCAGAGAATCGAAAGAAAAATGTGCAAATACTACAGCGACAATGTCGCCACCGACCAGGCTTGGAGGGGTGGCTTAAAAGGATGCTCCTTGATGCATGAGCAAGTGCTCAATTATGAGCTAAATAAATAAAAGAGAAGATGCCACACAATGAACAGAGAGGGCTGCTAGAAATTGTCAAATGGAAAAACGGCAACGGAAGCATAGGAAGAGAAGGAAAGAAAAGGAGTATGAGAGAGAGGGAGAGAGAGAGAGAAAGAGAAAGAAGGCAGGCTAAAGGCATGAAGTTAAAACGAAAGCATGGCCGTACATGAATTTTATGCAAAGTTGACGAAAATCGCGCATAGAAAGCGAAATAATTTAAAATTGTTGGGGAGATGGTTGGACTGGGGCCAGCTAATCAAGAGCTCGACTACGCTCTAAGGGAGTGACGTAATTTTATGCAAATGGGCTTGAAATTACATGGAGAAAGCAGCACTAATTGCTCTTGACAGGTAATTAAAAACGTGAGCAAGTGACACGGTGTGCAGCGAGAATTAAGGTAGGGACCAACTAGCCAGCCTATTGTTGAAACAAAGTAACGAAGATAGAGTTTCTCAATCAATTTATATAATGTTAGTTTACAATTAAAAATGTAGTTTAGTTTAATTGAAAATGAAAACAAATTTCTAAAAGTATGTAACATGCAGAAGGAAGCATCTCAGACCCCATAAAGGATATATGTATATTCTTGATCAGCATGACTAGAGAAATCGATCTAGACATGTCCGTCTGTCCGTCCGTTTGTCTGCCTGGATGAACGCAAGGATCTCAGAAACTATAAAAGCTCGAATAACGAGTTTATTTTTTTTTTTTTTAATTTTGCCCCCCTTCTTCCACTACAGAATACTGTCTACATAAACCAAACTTTGCACACGCAATCTATATACAGTAACCCAATTCGGTCAATTCTAAGAAAAGTTAGAAACAATTTCACTCCGGTATTACGGCCACAAACTGCAGCATCAAGTTCGCTCTTCTTCTTCATTTTGCTTCTGATAGAGGCACATACTCAGTGTCTGGGTACAGGGTATTACTGTCGGGCCTACTCGACTGTAGCGTTCTCTCTTCTTTTATTTAAATTTTAAAGAGACCTAATAGGTACATATAGCCAATTGGAGAGTTTCTTCGTTTCCAGTATCCATAATAATATTCGCTTAGATGAAAAATTCCCGGTTTCCATAAATAGCAATTAAAACTTCAGCACAACTTTAGAACTCACCTTAATTTTCTAACACGCATCACAGAAATAATAACAAGCAGATTGCCACAAATGGCGGCAATTATTATGAACAGCATAACGAAAGCCGTAAACACCCAGATAACGTCGTCGAGCCAATCCATGGCATTGATTACTGTACTATTGGCCGCTTCCAGGAGGTCATTGTTGCTGATATTACTGAGCAGGGCAGCCGCTGTGCTGCCCAGCAGTGTGGCGTTCAGTTCAGTGAAGGGCGTGGCAGTGGCTTGCAATGGCAGTGCGACAGGAGCTGCGATCGGCGCCATTGCAGAAGACATTTTCTCTGCTGTCGCCACCGCTATGCCTGCGCCTGTCGTTGACAGAGCGTTCGTTGTATGCAGAATGGTCGCTGCCGCGGTCAATGCGGCCGCCGTGGTGGCCAGCCTTATAGTTCGTGCTCGGTTCGTTGTGCGTCGAAGCGGATGTTGATGTTGAACTTGGTGTAAAGGCGTCGTTACTGTGCAAGTCGATGTCGACGCAGATGTCGGTTTTACTGGAGTTTCAAGTGTTACCTCTGAAGTGTGTGGTGGCATGACGAATCTGGAGCAGCTTGGAGAAGGCAGCTCGCTGATTGAGGTGGACGTTGGCCAAGCGGTTGGCCATGTGCTTGTTGCTGCAGACTCGCTTACATCGCCAGCACAACAGCAACGTCTCTTGCGTATTCTTGTAGCGCTTGTTCTATGCCGCCTACTAGCCATGTGCGCTGACTGTGAAGCTTGCACCGCCGGTAATGTTGGAACTTGACTCAACATGTTCCTGAAGTCTTTTTCTGTTTGGTTTTCTGTTGGGTTGGGCTTAGTTTTGATTTTATCAAAACCTTAAAAGTTACCGATTTTATTGCTTCTTAAAGGGCCTTTCTATATTTTTTCCTTTACGAGATTTTTACACTTTCCGAGGTTTTGCCTATATTTTGCACTCTGGAAGAAGTCTCGCATTAATTTGCTGGATATGCGCCGCCGACCGCCATTAAAGAAGAGTATCGCGACACGCGTTGCGCTCGCGACGTTAGTAAAAAAACTGAAACTGCTGCCAAAGCAACAGAAATTGATTTGCGAAAGTGCCGCTCGTAGTCACTGCTGTCGTCGCTGTCCTTCCCCAAACGTTGCCGACGCCCACTGGCTAGGAGCTTTCTCGCAGTTCTCTGCCCACGCGAACGGCGACGCTGTTGATAATTTGGTTATGGTGCTGCTTCAGTCGACGTCGCTGCTGCTGGACTTTTTGCCGTTAGCTGCTGTTGCTGTTGTTGCTGTTGCTGTTTCTGTAGCTTCTGTTTTTTCTGTTGTTCTGATTCTTTTCGTTTCCTTAGGTTTTTGCCCAACGCGTTGTCGTTGGTGTTGTTGTTGTTATTGTTGTTGTTATTGTTGTTGCTGTCGCTCCTACTGCTGCCTCTTAATATTCCTAAGTTTTGCGTTCGCTGCGTCCACAAAAATTTCATTGGTCTCTCCTAATATTAAGTATATTTAACATGTTTCTGTTTTTAATACTTATTTAAATTTATTTTTAGTTTGCTAAACTTGACGTGCGTTCGATTGCGTGCCCAGAAGTGGTTTTCAATTTTTGGTTTAGTTTCTCTTTAGGATTTTCCTAGGATCAATACACTTATGGTTTGGCGCTTTTAAATCTGTTGCTAAATCATAAAAAGTAAATAATGAAAAAAATCAACAAAAAAATGAAGGAAAAAATTATACCAGCGGGCGATTCTTCATTTTCCAACGCGTAAATTTGTTCTGTTATTTTTATTGTTGTTGGCGTCTTGTATTGATTTTAGCCAATATTTGTTTATATATGTACTTGCGTATAATTTGTTATTCTGTTATTCTAATTTCTCTCTCATATTGCTGCATAACTTTTTCGTGTTGTACAGGGTGCCTAAACCAAAACTTGCGTTAAAATTTACAACAAAATTGATATAGTAATTTCTTCTCTAATAATGTATGTATTAAATATTATAATCTTTACTGTTGTTTATTGAATAGAAAAAGGGTGAGTTAATACATTTTTGTTGTAAATTTTGAAACTTTTATTCGATGTCGAATATGACCAAATCTAAACAAAGCTCAATAATAGTGCGTTATCTCCGAAATTGTCACACCCTGTAAACTCTTGATGATTTATATTACAACAGCTGACACTGAGGAATGCTATTCGCCTTAAATCGCCCGCTTCATATGCCTTTGGCATGTGTATATTGGCCACATCTGTGTATAACTACTTGGATGCTTTGCTGCCTCCCCAATCCGATCATCTTGCCCGTCTTCATCCTCCTGTCACCCTGTGCAAGCAGCCAACTTAGTTGCGACTAAGTTGGGGCAGTGCCTAATGTCATTTTCAGCTTGCTGTAGCTGTTCCGTAAGATTTGTCGCGCTGTGTCTATATACACACTCTAGCAATCTATAAGTATCTGTGAGTGTCTGCTCCTAAGCTTTTTGTAGATACATATTTATTTATATTTATATTTTTGGTAAATTTATTTCCTGATTTTTTATTTTGATGTTCGCACACGCTTTTAACATTCGCAATGCGCCGTCTTTTTGATGTTCGTCTCATAGTAGCTGTTGCTGTTGTTGTTCGGCAACAAATTAGCTGTTTTTTTTTTTTGCCTACCCTGAAATCAGGCATATTTTATTTTTAGACTCTTAGGATTTACTTTTGGCTTCGGATTCTTTTTCGCGTATGTTTTTTGGTATTATTTGCACTAGCTTTCTCATTTAACCAACTGTCACACATTTAAAATGTTGTAGTTATTATTGTTTGTTATCATGTTCACAGCAATAGTCCAAGAAACACTAGCCGCCGGGTGTGAAAAACTGTAAAGATACAAATGTAAATTAAAAAGTTATTAAATATGTGAAAAAAGATAACACAATCAGCTTCTAAAATTATGTTAAAAATTTCCATATACATATTTGTATGTACTCGTACATATACATATATGTACTTGTGTTTTTATGTCTGTCCCTGCAGATATTAAATGCCAAAAGAAATGTGCGCTATAGCCTCATAGTACTGTGGTGAAGGCGTTGTTATTATTGCAGTTATATTTTCGCTTTTTTAATTTAAAATTTTGTAGAGATCGCAGAAATCATCCACTGCCCCCAGCACCGACACCGGCTACGCTGACGCCACTTTTGCTTCACGTTGTGGGCGTATAATTAATTTTGTGGCAAAATGAATTTCTCTTACGTTTATTATTGTATTTAAAGTTTTTCGGTTTCGATATTCCTCTGCCATAAATCTGAATGAGAGGGTGCTGCATTTTGCGGCTATACGTATTCATGGATATAGTCGGAGCACTAAAGTTAAAGTGAACGAATTACGCTACGTAAGAAGCCGAAGCAATTATTGCACGCACATATCCACTCTAACACAGACATATATGTATACGATACATATAGAATATATCTTTTTTTGACGCAACTACAATTGTTCAAGTGGTCGGGCAATGTTAATATCTTGAAAACCATTTTTTTAAACTCAATTGGGTTTCTCCCGTTTTTAAATAGTTTATTTCTATTTCATATTTTTCGTTTCTGTTTTTATTTTCATTGCGTTGACGTGGCCATCGTTTTTATTCTTGGCATTGGCATTGTATAATGCTGCTGTTGCTATTTTACGACACACACCCAAATTGTTGCCAAATTATGGCACACATGTCAAGTAACAACAACAACACTGCCACATCAATGACTTTACAACAGAAATACCCTCTTAGCCAAGTTCGAACCATCCAACCCACAAACAGGCTTAACTAAACTGTGGATAAATGCGCGTGCTTTTAATCATGTCTGTAATACTCGCTTTGTGTTTACTCAATGAGCATAAAACAATCAAGCCAACATAAACACATGCCAGCCAGCACTCTGCGAGGTATAAAAACTTTTTCCATGCTCTATCTTGTTTAAACTTTTAATTAATTAACTTGCATTTATTTTTATTTAACAAACAAAAGTTTTAATTTTACACAATGTGCGCTCTTTGTTGCAGATACAGAAGAGTGTTGAGTTGCATGTTCGTTTGCCTTTCAGCAGCTGTTGCACCTGACCTCTCACCAGTTTCGAATGATTTTTTATACCCTGTACCCGTAGGGTAAAAAGGGTATATTAGGTTTGTGCAAAGTATGTAACATACAGAAGGAAGCATCTCCGACCCCATAAAGTATATATATTCTTGATCAGCATGACGAGAGAAATCGATCTAGACATGTCCGTCCGTCTGTCCGTCCGTCTGGATGAACGCAAGGATCTCAGAAACTATAAAAGCTGGAATAACCAAAGTTGGCATCCAGATTCTCCTAGGTCCGAGTAAGGACGAGTTTATTTTATTTTTTTTAATTTTCCCCCCCTTCCCCCGCTACAGAATTTCGTCAATAGCGTCCACATTTCAAATGCTACCTAAACCAAACTTTGCACTTATAATTTATATATAATTGTCTATTGTTGTTCAAAATTTTATTCAATTCGGTCAATTTTAAGAAAAGTTATTAGCAAAACAAATTCTCGCCAGTACAACCCCACCAAACTGCAGCAACAAGTTCGCTCTTCTTCTTCCTCTTTTTGCTGCTGCTATGGGCGCATATAACTCAGTGACGCAAGTTTACCTGGGTACAGGGTATTACACTGTCGGGCTTGCTCGACTGTAGCGTTCTCTCTTGTTTTGTTTGAGTTCTGTGATGAGAATAGAGTAGATAGCTTTTGTTAAAATATTTTCATTTTCTGCTAGCCAAAATGATATTTTGCTTAAATTGAAGCCTGAAAAATATGCACATGTTTCAAAAGATCGAAAAGCTTTTTAAAAAAATTCAAATATGTTTAGATATACATAATTAAATTGCCTGGCTCTCTGCGTCAGTATTTGTCTGGAATGACAAACAAAACCTGCGCCATCTGACGATTCATATGTAGGCCAGAATTACTCTGTTAACGTACATTATTTCTTTTCCGCTGGCTATTGCATTTTAATCATGAATTTGCACAGAACTTGGTGTGGACAGTCTGCACGCCTTGGCGCACGAGTCCATTAAGAGCCAAAGTGTTACAAAAATAAATAAATAAGTAAATAAAATACGAGAAAGAAATATGAAGAGAGAATAGAGAACTCCGTGTGTCACAAAATTGACGCAGTTATTTTTTCGCACATGAATACGAGTATATGTAAATTTTTCATTTTTTAACGCTGCTGCTCACTGATTAAAGTTTATTTATTTTCATATATGCAAATGACGAACTCACTTCTGACACTCTTGAACCTTTCAGGAGCTCGCAGCATCGCACAGCAGGAGCGTAAAGCAGCAGAAAAAACAATAACACAAAACAATGTTGACCAATTTGCGCACGCAAATAAATCGCACAAATACAATATAATAGAGAAAGGGTGGGAGGGCACATATTTCCATGCATACATTTTCTTTTTCTCTTGGCTCTATCTGCCTATGTATACTATAGTATATTCATTGTGTTGACTTGCCACAGACGTTTTCATTTTTATGTCCATTCAATGGCAGCCTTTGAATGAATGCTCGCCAACGGAAAGCGTTTAACAGAGAGCGTCTGCTCGATTCGAACTGAAGGCGTTTCTATTTCACCGGACGCTAAAAATCGGGACCA